CGTCGGTGTCCCCGTAGCCGCGGAGGTCGGGTGCCACCGCGCGGTAGCCGAGGGCGGCGAACGCCTCCATCTGGTGGCGCCACGTGTACCAGAGCTCCGGGAAGCCGTGGAGGAAGAGCACCACGGAGGTGCCGGCGCCAGCATCCGGCCCTTTCTCCGCCACGTGCATGTCGATGCCGTTGACTCGTACAGTCCGGTGCTCGATCCCCTCCATCACACTCTCTTTCTAGTTTTGGAAAGTGGTACAGAGACAATTAATTTGAATAGACTTTTGATTTCAACTTGGAATATACGTGAGGGACAAGTGAAAATATGCTGGTCAATTTATAAAGGTGTAAACGAGCCCACTCGAGCTCAGATACTGATACTCGAACTCGGGTCTTTATTGAGTCGATTAACTAAATCAGTGGATAAACGAATTTTAGTTTGACCGGTTATTAATTTTAGCGAGTCGAACTATAACAAAATAATATATGTATTTTAGTATTAATTAGTTGAGTTATTAACTAAACGAGTTTCAATTTTTAATTTACATATTGAGACCAACTCGAGCAAAATTGACCCAATCTTTAATTTTTATTTTATTTTATTTTTTCTCGTGGCTCACATCGAATTAAACTCAAACAGTGGCAAAGAAATTGAGTCTAGCTCAATAGGGTCACTTGCTAATTTATAGATATATGAGGGATGAGATTTGATATATTCCACTTTCATATATAGTTCATATTCAATTTCGTGGGGAAGGCTACAGTTCCTACGGGATGGTTCCGTTGTTTTTCTTAGCCGTAGATACACAGTAATTCATCATGTAACGGGATTGTAGCATTTTCTCGTATTTTATATACGTGTTAATCATTGAATGAAATAGAACACGAAAATTGAACAAAAAAAATTATAGTCAATTTGGGTAGTAATTGAGACGGATGAATAAATGGCACTTAATTTAATTAGATCTCTGCAAGAAATTAATATGCGTTGGCGTGAGAACTGAGACAGTTGAACAATGAATGCTTGCGTGGTGACAATTATGTATGCAATTAATTTTAGCATTCAATTGGGCTGTAAAGTGGGTACACTTTCTACAATATTAAATTATTAACTGTTCTGATGGGCCCTTGTTTGGGTATATTTGTTATTGGATCAATCTGTGAGTTATGTTATTCAATTGGGCTTGTTGGTTTGTGGATAGGATAGGCTTATAACGTCATTTTCTTTAAGAAAACGTAACCAAGGTAGTTCAAATCACGTTTCTTTTTTCATTTTGTTCATCAGCTTGTCATCTTTCCCTTCAAACGAATTAGGCAATCAATAAAGACCGATGGGGTGATATCGTTTCTTGTACTTAATACGAGCTAAGAAGAGGGTTGTCACGAACATATATGCTAAGTCAAATCATTTGCTACGTCGAGCAAGTTGAAAACTACTATAAATATTAAATAGTACAATGAGTGACTCGATAGCTCAAATGAATATATTTGCGCATTTGTATGTAAACAAGCGTAGTTATGGAGGTCAAAAGACTTATCGATATGGATGAATTGAACTGAACATTCATCTGCAGTCAAATAAACTCGAGTACTGAAGTTAACACATATTCCATATTTTTGGACAAGTTGTCTTTTGATTCTCTTGTTTTACTAGAAATTTCGCTAAGGGACGAATCTAGAAAAGAAAAAAAACTTTGGGGGAACTAAAGTTATTATATCGAACATAAATGTATGCGTACAAGTTTGGTTTGACTCGTAAAAACATGAGCTCAACTTGATCTTATATTTAAACGACCTAATCTCAAACACTTAATCTAACTTGTGTATTAACTGAGTTGGATTTTACTTGTTTATGAAACGAGTCAAGTCGATCTGATTCATTTATTATCAAACACGAGCTTGAACATGAGATATTTTGGCTTGACTTGACTTAAATAACACCTTTACAGAGAGGATATATAATTTTCCGTAATACACACACATGAGGCATACATTTCATTATATAATAAATAGATAAAATAAATAAAAAATGTTATACCCAATATATAACTTATCAGTTTTGGCATTTTTAAATTGTGATTGAGATTATTTCAGATTACGAGACTCATTCACGATTGACTCGGTGTTGATACTTCTTTCGTTATTATTCGATCAGGTCAAATTGCATATCTTGCATGCTCTCTACTATTTCAAATTTTTTGTATGAAAAAACACCAAATATTATAAATGAAGAGTGAAAATCACTTACAAAAATATAACGTACTTAAAAATAATTAATAGAAAGTGCAATAAAATAATTAGCAATAACTATAGAATGGTGCAATAAACTAAATATGCTTATAATATATATTTATGTAGTTGATATAAAATTAATAATATACTTGTAATGCGTATATATACACATGTATAACATGCTTAAAAATAATTAATAGACAGAGCAATACTATAATTAGTAATAACTATAGAATGATGCAATAAACTGAATATGCTTATAATATATATTTATGTGTTGATATAAAATTAATAATATACTT